CCCTACCCCTTCCCTTACCACCCACTCCACCCTCTCCCTCTCCCCCCAACCCCCTCGATACCCAGCAGAAACTATTGAACTCCACTTTCTTGATAGGCAAGTGCTCTACCACTTGAGCTATACCTCCCAGCCCATTTATTTTGTTTTTCAAAAATGGTCTCCCTAACTTTGCCTGGGCTGGCTTTGAACTCACAATCCTCCTGCCTCTGCCTTTGTATTTGGGATCACAGGCATGTTCCACCATGCCCAGCTTCCTTCTTTCTTTCTCTGTCTACTGCATGCAACAGGCAGTATATACAGAGAAGATGAGCTGCACAGAGGAATGATTCACATCCTGTATGGCACAGAGTGAGATAGTGGGTAATTTGTGTTGGCTAGGAAAAGAAAAACAAATTTAACAAAAAATTTAGAGACCACTTTTATAACTCAAATATGCTTAGTTAGCTTGAATGGATGACTCTATCATTTGCTCTTACACAAAGAAAATAAATGCTGCTAAGATTACCTGAACTAAAATGCTTGTTGCCCATGTAGAACTGTGTATGACAGCTGGAATTATGGAGTCTTTAAAATTTCTAGTCACTTATTTTTGAATAGGTAAAGACAAATTTCTTGGTAAGCTTGATGGAGCCCACTTATCACCTCCTTCCTATAAACAAGCTTTATAATTATATGTGTGTGGACTATACACACTTGTCTGTACCACTAGGCATTAAGTTTATACAGAACAGGGACTTTTACCTTTAGCTATGAAGCACTGCCTTTGACTTAACCTGAATACTTAATAAAGGTGGAAATACTTCTGATTTAAAAACCCAACAACAATAAAAATAGGAAGAAACAAGAATCATACCTTTGAACCAGGTGGTGCTGTCAAGCCTAAGAAGGCATACACTGCATTATTTTCTCGGGCTTCAAAGAAGGCATCATAGTCCTTGGTGAAAAGAAGGCAAAAAAAATTAGCAATCTGCAACCAACAAGGGAAAGAAATTTATTCACAATAACCTGACTTGTTGACAGGATCAGCTACTTCCTTGGAGGTCACTTAATGTGGATTAGAAGGTGTGCAAAAATGAAAAATGGTTTATTCTGTATCATACAGAATTTATATCTGCTTGCAGGTATTTTTCAGTAAGAAATTGCTTATTTCTGCTAAGAAACTCTTGTTACAGTTCTCCATATTTCTCTTCCAGTATTCATTCAAATAGAGATTTCCTCAAAATCTATTGTTACATATACTGGAAGCCAGAAGAATAGTGAGGCCATGCTGTGTTTTAAGGAAGAGAATGACAAGTAAATGAAACACACCAGAAAAGAAACTACTATGAGGTTTCAGCTTTAGGGATTCAAGAGAAGTCTCACATGACTGAATGTGGTTAGGCTTCCCACTGACATCTTTTAACCCACTACGCCTTCTCCAAAAGTAACAAACAAAATTCCCTAAATTGTGACTTATAAACATTAGCAAACATACTTAAAAACACAGCCATTGTCTATACTTGGGTTTACTTTGTTTGATTTTTAAATTCAGGGAGAGAAGCTTATCATTTTGGCTGACTTAGTTTTGATGTTTTTTATTGTTGGGCTGGGTGGGGGTACATTGTGGCATTCACAAAAGTTCTTACTGTGTATCAAATATATCATACTTGAACTCACCCCTTCCATCACTCTCCTTTATCCCCTTCCCCCATTCCTGGAATAGTTTCAACAGGTATCATTTTTGCATTTACATGCATGTATACACAGTATTTTTGGCTGATTTATTAAAGCTGAAAAGCTTCATGATTTGCTGGCTTCTGTAAAGAATACCTCACCAGCAGATTACCAATGCCAGGGTTCTTTTTAGGTATGTTCTCTTTTCTGTGCACTTCGAGGATCTGGAGACAAAAAGGCCTAAGCCTCTTGAGCCACAATGACCCTAGAAGTTTGGATTCTACCCCAAGAAATATCAGAATAGTTATTTCCCTCATATTCAGCACAGCCAGAATTAAAAGAAAATTTGCTTTGTGAAGGACACTATTAAAAGAACAAAAAAAAATGTGTTACAGTTTGGAAGAAAGTATATGCAAAGCACATATATGGCAAAAAACTTGCACCCAGAGTACATAAACTCACGAAAATAATAATAATAAAATAAACAGCCCAATTAAAAGTTAGAAAAATAGGGGAGATTCCAAGATGGTGGCTAGAGGGAGGAAGCAGAAAGCGAGCCTCCTATAGTGAAATCTTGGAGAGATGCTGGAGACACACCTTGCAGGCAAAACCACTGAGAAGAGACAAAACTTTGACACCCCCACACCTCCAGCCAGCACAGAGAATCTCCACTTCATGTTAAATGGAGAAACAAGGAGGGCCCCCGGGCTGCCAGTTGTCCACGCCCAGACAGATTGGGAAGATGCGGACAAGGTAAGCTTTGTGGTACCGCGGTACTCCCACAGACAAACCTGGGCCAAAGCAGCATAGCCCCCTGGACAGACTGACCTCCACCGGGGAAAAAAGAGAAACTGACTAATAAGCAATAGGAACAATAAAGACAAGTGGGAAAGAGGGTGGGGTGCACTGAGCACTGAAGATTGGGGGAAGGGAATCCTTCCCGGGACTGTAAATAAAGAAGCCAGGTGGGCAGGAGAGGCTCCGGCAGGAGCGGGGCCGCGGGCCCAGCAACCAGGAGTGGGAAAGTTTGTGAGAGTGGTGGAGGGAGGAAAACTCCACAGGAGAGAGGGGAAGACCCACTTCCCACGAGAGCTGTAAACAAACATGGCAGCTGGCAGGAGCAGCAGCACCACCCAGTAATCAGAAGCAGGAAAGCTTTTAAAAGTGGCAGTGGGAGGAAAACTGCACAGGAGAGGGGGGAAGACCCACTTCCTATATGAACTGTAAAAAAACACGCAGGCCTGAGAACGCGGGTGCAGTGTCACCTTTCCCAGTGCTTGGAAAGGGGAAAGCTTGTAGCAGAGGCCCACAGGAAAACTCTGAGTAAACAAAGCCTGCAAGGCCAGGTGAGTGCTAAGCTCACCCCAGAGATCTGCATAAATAATGCCTCCAGCAACAGCAGGCTGACAGCAGCAGGCAGCCAAGCTACAGCCCCAGATACCATTCACAGAACTGTCTCCAAACTCTTTTTTTTTCTTTTTCTCCCTACCTTTGATGAGAGAACAACCGAATTACACCTGCATGCTGAAAAACTTACTGAAACTGTATTGCATTTGAACTT